GATCCTGTTCACTCCTCTTCTCCTGCACAGAGTACAGAGTCAGGTGGCAGGAATGAGAGGAATAGAAGAGGGTATGAAGGAAAAGGAAGTGAGATCTGGAGCAGGAGGATGCAGCCCAGCAGAGTGGGGCCCCAGATCCTCGGGCCACAGCCCCTAATATGCTAAAATTGGTGTCACCTGTGTAGAGACCTTCTGACAACTGTCATGAAGGAGATGAGTCACTGCAGCCGAAGTGTGCTAATAAGTGACCACTGATGACCAGGACATGCCCCCTCCTCCCACTCACCTTGTCCTCATGCCCGTGACTTTTTCCTAGAGCCACACGGAACCCAGGGAGCCTCCAACAGACAAACCATGGCAGCAGGGCCACTCTCAGGAGTGTGCCATGCAGCGCCCTAAGAGAGGGGTGGCTCCCTCTCCAAGCAACACAGGCGACCATACAAACCACATATTTCTTCTTTCCTTAAATCCTGATAACTCTCTGTGTTTTTTATTAAGTCTCAGCTCTGTACAACCTTGGAATCACAGATCCTCCCAATTAGCAGTTGCTGGTAAAAGAAACTGTGGACAAATAAGGCAGAGTGGGTGGCTACTGATGCTGGTGCACGAAAGAGACAGAATTCTAAATATCAAATCTACTTAAAGGAAACTTGTTAAAGTTGAAGGCTAAAGTGTTTCATAGAGAGAAAATCCTGCGGTGTATTTATCAACCACAGAAGTAGCCGTGGAAGATTCGCTGGAAGAAACCCCCATTAAATACCTGGGCTTCTGAAGGCTAATGGCATCTCGCAGAATGCAACCATTAATCTCCTGCTCCCTGCTAACTGTTGGTCTTGGATTACTGAACTCCAATTAGCGTCTATGACTCCTAAAGACATAAACATATTTTTAGATTTATAAGAATGTCAAACATCTTTTTGTTATCTCTTCTCTCCTTGGTTGAAAGAAAATTTAACAAACATGCTCTGATAGCTAGGTGACCTTGAAGCAATGCACACAAAAGCATTGTTAGATCGAGTCCCAGCCTTCTCCCTTTCTTCTAGCAAATCCTAAAGAAATCTATTCACGCTGGAAAGCATATTGAAGTAAAAAAGAAATTTCACCCAATTTAAGTAATGCCAAAATCGTTGGAACTCGGGGGGAAGAAAGCCATCTCAAGGTCTGAGAGGGAAGGAATGTATGGTGCAAATAAGTGCCAGCAAGAAAGGCGTTCACTGTGTGGGGATGGATAGCCAAGTGCCTCGGGGAACACAAGGCAAGTTGGTGACAATGCAGTGCAACTCAGCATTCACTTCCCACTCCTTCCACAATTCTTTGAGCCAGTGTTCCTCTCTGGGGGGAGCACTGTTGGCATTTGGGGAAGGATGGTTCTTTGATGTATGGGACTGTCCTGTGCATTGCAGAATGTTTGCATCCCTGACCCTACTCACTAAATGCAAGTAGCACTTTCCAATCACTGACACAAAAACATCCCCAGTCTGTCCCTAGAGTAAACATCACTGTCCCCAGTTGAGACCCCTACAAGTCTGAGCTCTAGCAACAGGTAGAATAAGATGGGGTTTGAATATAGCTGTGAGGATGCACTGCTGAGCAGGAACGGAGCGACTTTGTCAAAGATCCATCATTCTGTCCACGTGTAGGTGCGTCAGGAAAAGAAGTGATTAGCTTTATATCCTGGTGAAGAAACAGTATGTGTCCAAAAGTCCACAATGGCCACATGATTAGAGAGATGGCTTTGTAGTTGGTAGTAAAACAAATATTAAAAGGAAATCAAGACCGAAATGAACCAGAGACAGTATTCAAAAGAACTGTCCTAGTAAATAACTCAACCTGCATTGTCACTGCTCTTCTGGAAAGGAGAGGGACGGCTTCTTTGAAGATGGATTTCAGTCTGCCTGACACTTGCATGAAAAATGGAAGAGACTGGCTAATTTTTTTAGGTTCTTTCATGGATGCTGAATTTCAAAAATTAAATGGCATATAAAAATGAAGCCCAGATGAAAAATTGTAAATCTGCATACCAGAGTGATTGACCAGTTACTTAATAAGTCCGTGCTCAGCTACAAGGAGGTTTCCGTATAAACGGCTGCCCCTGGTGGGCAGTTTCGGGAACTCTCCACCTTTCCAAGTGTTACTGGGAACTCTCCCTTCTCTCCTTCATTCTCCTCCTTAACCCTTCTCAGCCCCTGGCTTCCTGCCTTATACCCCAGGACCAGATCATCCGTGGGGGAGAAGGCGGGAAGGGACACCTCACCCTGCTGCTGTGGGACCCTTGCTCCTCACCCCTTGGCTCCCTATAGCAGTACCACCTGTTAGCAAGTACATCTGACAAGCTCTGGACTAAGGCTATTTTTGCTTGTTTTAACATTAAAGTAGGTTACCCAGAGAGATTTTAACAACTATTCCTCCAGAAGTTTGTTTTAATATTTTTCTCAAAACAATCTGAAACTCAGAGAATACTTGCAAGTACAAGTAATTTTTTTCATGAATTATTTGAGTAAGTTGCCAATCTAATGCCCATCACCCCTGATTTTCCTACAAAACCAGGACATTCTCCTACATAACCCCAGTGAAACCATCAAAATCAGGAAGGTAACTGATACGTTACTACCATCAGACCCCGTTCAAGGGTCCCAAGAATGTTCTGCAGTGAAAGCAGCCAGAGGAAGGAGGTGCTGTGTTTGGTTGTCCTGTCTCTTAGTCTCTGTCAGCCTGGAACAGTTGCTCAGTCTTTCCTAGGTTTTCAGGAACTTCTAAAGAGTACAGGCCAGTCATTTTGCAGAGTGTCTCTTGATTTGGTTTTGTCTGCTGCTTCCCCATAATTGCTTCAGGTGATGCACCTTTGGCAGGACTATCTGAGAAGTGATGCTGGGCTTGTGTATATCTTGTGAGTATTTTTCAGTCATTTGATGTCTAGAAGTATGTCTCCTCTTCCTAGTGAAGGTCCCCCCATCTCAGGTGAAGACACGGTCTTCAGCATCCTCTATGTATCTTGTAGCAACTTGCGATGAGTTACATTTATATCATCGACTTTCTGTACATGTTTGTTGAGTTAGTGAATGCTTGTCCATGTGTGGTCCTGCGTGCGTGTGTCTCACAGAACACGTGCCCACGTTCGTTTTGGATACCCTACTGCTTTGGATCATGTACTTCTCCATTCCTTGCATTACCATGGAAGTTCTAAGACAGAGGTCACTTAGTAAAACTCTTCTTTTGTAGATGAGAAAGCGGAAGCTTAGGAAGATGACCTATCTAGCTGGTAGCAAAACTAGAGTCAAAGCCCCCCATCCTGCCTCCTTTTCTAAAACTCCACCCACGTGCATGATTCAACTTTCTTCATCATTATCAAGTAGAAATATTTTTATTATAACTGCTAATTGAGTTAGCAAAGGTGGGAGTGTTTGTGGAATTAAACCTAGTAACTTCCTAAGCTTATATCATAGTGAAAAAAGGAAAATATATTTTGCTTTAAAGTGTGAAACTTTAAAGAATAAAACTGATAGCTATATGAGGAATTCTGCAACTTGCGAATTAATCTTTTGAATAGTCTTTTCTGGAACACGCTGAAAGGAACATTCTTTGTTTCAAAATACCTAAGAGATTTCTATGTTAAGAATTAGGGTGCCCAGAGAGGTACAGAAAGTTTGATCAAGAACTAGTTAGATCAATTCTGGTTTCTTATTGTCTATTATTATTTTTTTAAACATTTTTATTGAGTTATAGTCATTTTATCTTATTGTCTATTATTAAATCACTTAGTTTATTTGTTACTTGTCCTCTAAAAAGCACAAAGGTGGTCTTTTAATTTAGAGGTAAAGAGTCTATAGGATTATTGTGGGGAGTAGAAAAAGAAAATGTCTGAACTGTGTAAATACCCAGACCATCTGCATTCAGGGTATTCACTGTGTTTATGCTGTGGATCCCTTTGGTATCTGGTAAAACCTCTCAACCCATTCTCAGAATAATGTTTTTAAATACATAAAGTAAAATCTATAGGATTACTAAGGAAAAAATATTGAAATGTAGTTATTAAAATATTTAAAGAACAAGTATATGAGTATTGTCATGGTTAATAATGCTTTTTAATTAATGCTTGCATAATAAGATCCAGTGTCAGAACTCATAACTGTGGTAATTTCAAAGCAGTGTGTCAGTCTACCTGGGCTGCCACAATCAAGCACCATAAACTGGGTGGCTCACACAACAGAAATGTATTTTCTCACAGTTCTGGAGGCTGGAAGTCTGAGATCAGGGTGCCCGCATGGTCAGGTAGAGGTGAAGACTCTCTGGCTTACAGAAGGCCACCTTTTCATTGGGTCCCCACATGCTCACATGGCCTTCCCTTGGTTTTTGCCCATGTAGGGGGTGAGAGGGGGAAAGAGAGAGGGGGGGAGATCTTTTCCTCTTCTTGTGAGGCCACCAGTGCTATCTGATTAGGGCCTCACCCTTATGACCTCATGTAACCTTAACAATCTCCTAAAAGCCCCATCTCCAATTATAGTCTCACTGGGGATTAGGGCTTCAACATATGAATCTTGGAGGGACGTGGTTTGGGCCATAGCATAGTGATAAGCATAAATGGTATTTTAAAACATCTTCAACAAACACTAATAGGAAATAAAAATAGCTATGATCTGCTGGTAAGGGTCACAGGTACTGCTGCTAATATGTGTGTTGCCTACATTCATTGTGGAAGGAAATGCTTAATTGCAGGTAGAGGTAAAAGAAAATAAGACAGGATTTTTTCCCATCCTAGTTCACAGCCACCCTGAATTTCTCTATAAGGACTCCCAGGTTAAGAACGTTGATATATGCAAATAAGATGTTCTTATTTTGAGCAAACAAGTGGCGTAATGGAAATAGATTCTGATATCAGCTACCGTCGCCAGTTACTCAGGAACAGCAAGTGTGTTAAATTGAAGAGACAGCATCTGGTCTTGCCTTGCTTTCTGATATTTTAAAATATGTGTTTGAGTATTGAAATGTGTTTTGTCTTGCAGACACCTGTAACCTAAATACTGAACAAAATGATTGCTGGACCTCTGAGAACTCCTGTCTTGACCCTTCTGTGAAGGGCCAGCCAGAGACCAAGCTGCAGGATGATGGACTTCAGCAGTCTCTGGATACATTCTATGAAGCGTTTGGCCATCCACAGGCGGCCTCTGGAAATCCGCTCTCCGCGTCTGTCTGCCGGTGCCTGTCTCAGAAAATCAGCGAACTGAAGGGCCAGGAGAACCAGAAGTACACCCTCCGCAGTTTGCAGATGGCCCGGGTCATCTTCAACCGGGACGGCTGCTCAGCCTTGCAGAGGCGTTCCAGGGCCGCCCACTTCTACCCATCAGGAGAAGGAAGTGAGTCTCTGGAGGATGAAAAGCCAACCCCAGGACTTTCAAAAGATGTTATTCATTTCCTCTTGCAGCAGAATATTATGAAAGACCCATGACTGGTGCCTGGTGGTGGGAGCAGGCTCGTGGAAGGTAGCCCCGGGGCTGATACCGCTGGTGCACCACCCAGAACCCCTCAGGTCTCCCGCCAGCCCCGTGTACCCGGCTCCCAGCTAAGTGCTTTGCTGGCGAAGGCTGCCATCTGTCATCTGGTCCTGGAGCCACTTCAGTCCATATGGAGAGCCAGCAGTGTCTGGGGACTTTATTGCCTCTGTGGCCACCCTACCTCCCACCCAAACCTACCACTCCCTTTGACCTAAGGCCAGTGACCAGCTGGTGTAGGAGTCCAAAAACCCAGCTTCGTTGCCTCCAGGAAGGACATGCTTTGAGGCATAACTCAGGTTCCAGAGCTCCCCTCCTGGTCAGCCCAAGGCTGGGGCTTCTCGTGAAATCTCGATCTTGCCTGGCTCCTTCTCTTCCCCTGCCCTCCTTCTGCCATTCACTTACTGGTGTCCCCTGGGAGCTTTTCCTTAATAAATGTCTTGTACCTGAATCCTTGACTCAGAGTTTACTTCTGGAGGAACCCAACCTAAGAGGACAGAATTTCATTCAATGACTTTTTGGAAAGATACAAAGCCCTGTGCTGAATCAAGTATAAGAATTTTATCAAGTTGTAAAACTGTGACCATGTGATTCAGAACATATGTCCTGAAATAATACAAAGATTTAAATATGGTTCCCCGAAGTGCATCACATCTTAATCCTACCCTTGCTGCTCCAAAGTCAGAAATTCCTGTTTTATAACACTAACCGGGTGTACAAGGAACATTTGAACCATCTAAAATAACAGCTGAGATTCTCAAATTAAAAAAAAAATCTTTTCTTCTCCACCAGATTGCAAATGTGAAAGATGAGAAAAAAAACAGTGTGTGCCACCCACCAGAGATCGTGTCGGCTCAGTTACGTTATGGTAGGCTGGTGGATGCGACCTTGTCAATTTGTGGTGGAAGAGGAAAAAGGAATCCTTTGTGCAAGTGGACTTCTTCCTCTCATTAATTTTACCTCTGTCTGCCTGCTGCCAGCACCCTCTGTCACCCTCCGAACAGTTGGCCTCTCACCCCTGTCCTGTCCTTGCTTCGCCAGGGAACAGCTTTAAATAGCCCGGGCTGGCAGGTGCTCTGTTCCTCAGCAGCGTCCTGATCCCCATTATAGGATTCGGTTGGTAGGATGATATCACCTGGCACTAAGCTCTCTGATATTGTGGTTGGCAGTCTCCTGCTCATCTCTCCCTTGACGGTCCTTCAAACAAATTGCTCTGACAGAAAGGGTTATATCACTTGATCTGGGGAACAACAAGAGAAGTTGGCAATACTAAGATTTGGGGAAATTTTAAGTGAAATTTAATTGGCATAAGACTCCATAAGATTCCAGACAGCAGATGATACAAATAGATCATCTTACAAGCGTATGCTAAGAGTGGGCGTGCCCTCTCCAGCCAGGTCTCTTGGGAACTCTGGAATGGAGAGAGAAGCCTTTTAATAGTCAGGAACTACATACTGCGGTTTCCGGTTCTGGGATGATCAGAGGTAAGAAACAGGATCCACACTGAAGGGCAGAGGCACCTCTGGAAGGAGACTTAAATGGTAGGAAATGCAAAATGAATAGGTCTTGAGAGACCAGGACTCCAGGTTTTCCTCCAACAAGCAGTTGTCTGCGTCTTTCTCCATGGGCTCCTCCGATTCCAGCTGGCCTCCAGATAACTATGCAACCAGCGGGACTGTAGGGGTTGAAAATCTGTAGGGGTTGCATTTTGAAGTTGCTAGTTTTACTGTTTTTTGATGTGAAGCAAATTCATAGGTGCTTTTGAAGAATGCTGTAGTTTTTAGCATTATTCAGCCCCTGAAATGTTGGAGATTGGTTTCCATGACTACCAGCAGAATGAAACTGGGTTATTGTATACAGTTTTTAAGGGACAAAAGATCCAAGCTATTTGAATCTCCATGCTGGCAAGCAGCAGCTTCTATTTGGCAATGAGATTTTAGTATCAGTGACTTTGTAAACTTTATTTATATCAGTGCTGTGGATGCTCAGAAAAAAGGTAAACTCTGAAAGCAGAGAATTTCGAAGTCTAAAAGCCAGAATCACTTTAGGGTGAAAAAAGTGTGGTGTGTGTTTGTTTGTATCTGAGTAAGTGCTTGTGACAGGTCGGTACAAAATATTTGATTCCTTGCAGTCTGGCCCCTTAATTTGATCTTCATGAGGTTAGGATGGCATTTTCCATTTATCTCTGTTTACCCTTAATAAAGACAAAGAGATAAAGATATTAAGGCTTTGGCCTCTGGCATTATTGTCTAATTCTGCCCCACAGATCACTTCACTGACATCTCATCATCCTGTGAACTGACTTAACTATGATACGATCTGTGATCTTTTCAGAGGTCTCTGAGGATGGACTTGCTGGCAGGAGCATCAGAACTTGAAGGAAGAGAACCACTACCAGTGTTTTAAGTTCATGTAACTGTCATTCACTTCAAAGTCTGTTTCTTTGCATGACTTACGTATGTAATAGACCTTGTTACTAGTACTTAGCACAAAACAACACAGTGATACTTTAAAACTTTTTTACAGCTTACTTTTAAAACTTGCAATCACATGTAAAAGTGTTTATAATCACATGTAAAAGTGAACATCTGAAAGATTTTACCACCTGGACCCACCTGTGCAACTAGCATCCGGCTCAAGCAACAGGCATTGCCAGCCCGCTCAGGCAGTCCTCTCCTGAGAGGACAGTGTCGTCTTCGAAGAACTGATGAGAATGGTTTGCTCAGGTCAGTGTTCTCAAACTACTGATAGTACACAAGAGAATTGCAGGTGCTACATGGACAAACAATGTTTATTTCCTTCGTTATCTATTCGATTTAACATGTTAGAAAAATAGGCTGCGTCTGATCTATGCTTTCATGGATATTACATAGGCTACATCTAATGTAAGCATTTAACATTTTAAAGTGAATTGTTCTGCTACCAAACCCAGGTTTGGCTGCTCACCACTTGAAAGTCAATATTCGAGAGACGAGTATTGGTTAGAAAGGAAAGGTTGCTTTATTCAAGAGGCCGACAACCTGATGAGAAAGTGGACTCATGTCCAAAAACCAGCTCCAAAGATTCTGCCAGAACATAAACGTTGTTAAAGAGAGAAACGGAAGTTAATCATTTGGGGAAGGGGGTCAGAGTCTTTGTTATTTTCCACTGTGCTCACACTTTCTTCTGATTGGCTGGTGGTGGGGTAGGAGGGTGGTCTTCCCAGAATCTTGTACTCAGCCTGAAGTTACCTTCCTCCATCTGGGTGGGGCCTTAGTTCTTACAGAGGACTCAAAGGCATTGTTATATATATTCCTTGAGGAGGAACGAGGACCCTGCCCTATTGCTGCATTGAGCAGCTTCTTGACTGCTCCACCCTTGTCTCTGCATTCCCTCACCTCCCTGACTAGCAACCGTTTGAAACTGCCCTTAGAAACTCAGTCAAGGAGGCTGAATGAAGCCTATTTCCTACAAACAAGAAATGGGGAAGACAGGAATAGTTTGTACCCAGAAAGGCCCCACAGGGTCCTGCTTGGTTTCAGAATTAGGGAAAAAGTTAAATTAATGATAGTGTAGCTGATGTACAGACGTGTCAATAATTATAAAAATGGTATACTGGAAAATGACCGAAATTTGGAATACCATGGGACAGATAATCTATGCTTTCTTCTGTGTTCTAGTCTCTATTCTAGCATCTGTCTCCTGGAATACTGCAAGCAACTTCCACCAGGTCAAGATGTTGCCGATAGATGCAACCGGTGTTCCAGGTTCTTGTCCTGTCCCAGAAAGAATTCAGAGGCAAGACTTAGAGGTTAAAAAAGGTAAAGTGAGGATTTATTAAAGGATGGATAGTACACTCTCAAGGGAGAGTGGGCAGGCTCAGGTGAGCGGCTGCCCTGAGTTTCTTTGGCAAGTTAGTTACATAGGGTGTAAAAATGAATGAGCGGAATATTCACTGGGGAAGGGAAGGGTTTGGGGTCGTATTCCCTGATTATCATCCCAACTCCACCTTCCCAAAGGGAGGAGGGATTTTTGTCCTTTTTTGGTCTGAATTGGAAGTGTCATGGCGTCGGTGCATGATGGATACTTCTGATCTGCAAGGCTAATTTTATTGAAATGAGGGCATAATGAGCAAAATGTTACATTCAGACACTAGAAATTTCTGCCTTTTCTCACCTTTCTTCGTTCTTCTCCAGGCCGCTTGTCATCCCAAAAGGCATAATCCCTTATCAGCCCCAAGGTTCCTGCTTTTCTTTCTCTGCCCAAGGATCCCTGCTGCTTACATGATCTGTGGTTTCCTGCATTTGGCCTG